CGCTTTTGTGGCCACACTGATAATATGTTCAAGAAACATCAGTTTCGAGTCGATCGTCACCCGAGGTATTTCAAAGACCCCGACTCTCCATCTGTTGACTAACCATTGCAACTTCCATCTTTTCAGAAAAACTCCAGCCGAGATGCAGGTCTTGTAAGTGTCAAGGAGTAGCTTTTCATGCCTTTCCATTATAACCTTATAGACCTCGACGGGGATGCCAGGCCCGGGGCCTACCTTGAGAGACTTAAGAACTTCCCCCTAACTCGACTGCTGATAAAAGTGGGCACTCGTCATAGGATATCGCACTCTGGGTGCAAACCCGGTCTTCGAGTTTGAGAAACAGAGCTCGGACTATTTCTTCCATCCTATCAGGTTCCATAGGATCTACTGAACTGAGTCGAAACATTTACGGGTGACGGTCCGGTAGCTGTTTCCCCATAGGTCGTCATCTACTTCTCTACAGACCACTTGCCAGAATCTCTCTTTGCTCACCTTGATCGCATTAACAAGTCGCTTCGTTTCGTCCGCGGCAACAACTGCTGCGGTCCTCTTTTGCCCTGCACGAGCCCGCAAAGTAGTCCAATCTATGGCATCGATAGCACTGGTTTAGTCGCTCCCAACGGCGGACTCGGTATCTCAACCAGCCAACCTTGACCCTTCCCCGTCTCCAAATCCAGACCAGCTTCGAATCCAGCCTCGATATATGCGCGAACGGCTCCCCTTGCGTTGCGTGATTATCACTTTGAGTCTATCTACGTCTTCACCAATGCCCCTTCTCAAGGCCTCCTGGACCTTTTCAATAGTCGTGACGGCGTCCACCCCGTCTATAACCACCGTAGTGGTAGAGACGAGATGGCGGCGCACCTTCACGTAACCTTCGGCTGCCTCGGTGATCTTGTTTCTGAGTGTCGAGCGATTTTTGACAGGTCTCTCGAACTCGATAAGAAAACCACTTTTTCTAACAGTCGTTATGGCCTTTACTACTGCGCCCAAATGCTCCGATTGCGACCCCGAGCGCTGAACCCTCAGAACTTCACCAAAAGATTTGCCCTCATCTGGGTTTATCAGCACTGTTTCCGGTAGTTGCCTCTTCCTCGGCTTCTGGTCCTCCTTAGACTTTTTTTTATTAAAAAATACTAGTAATGCTAATAAACATTACTAATTTTCTCTTAAACCACTTCTGGTAAGCTTGTGTTAGAAGTGGTTCACGACAGTAGTCGATAGCGGATTCGAACACACGACATTTCGAGTTCGCGGTCCGTGCCCTGAGCCGCCCTTCGCTCGGTTGGTACTTAGCCTTGTTCTCTGCACCTGTTTATAGAGTTTAGAGAACTCCGAGGATATGGGGTAGTGGATATTCTTATACTGTCACTACATGGTTTATTGCTAATTAACATTGCAATTAACAGTTTCATTAACGTCGGCGGAGAAAGATCCCCGTTTGTTAGAGTACTTAATTATATTACTTATTTATATTTATATTTACGGCGACCGCTTAATTTGAAGTTTAAGTTTGCTTACTGAACCATAACATTTTTCATCATCATCACATCATCATTAGAGCCATCAACAAGTCCGCTGCTAAACATAGGTCTCAACCAAATAATGCCACAAAGCACGGTCCCGAGTGACCTGCATCCATCGACTTCCTGCATGTCTTACTTACCAGGTCGTCACTTCATCTAGTGGACATACAGGATAGCGCGAAATTAATAATAACTCTATAGAGTAATTAAACGCTATATATAACTTTTAATTATAGTACAAAAGAAATCAATCAAATACTGCAATTATGTCACTGTTGTAGCATGAATGGGCCGGCTCGACCGGAGAACTACCACGCCTTGTTCCGTATGGTGTGTACAGAACCAGAGACCTCTTTTTACTGAAAACGAGGCATTCCATCTTAGTCCTTAGTGGTGACAACGCATCTGCATTATGATTCTTAATTAATTATACTACTATATAAATTCTTTAGATGTAGATGTCTATGGGCCACAGCATCCACGTCACAACAGGAGGACTGCGTGCTTGTTTGTCACACTTATATAATTAATAGTAATTTTTCCATTATATGATTTATATAGTGGAAAAATGTACATCATGATGTATATACATCACTTTCCACTATCACATAAATAATTACATGAGCGCATTTCTTTGTCCTTTAAGAGCTTAGAGTAATTACACATAGAGTGATAGTGACATTCAAAATTCCGTTTAAAGTTAAAGTAACAACACAATGAATGTGTGCATAAGCGGCCTGTAATTACGTTTGCCCACACGCACACAAGCAAATGAGTAATGTTTGCAAGTTAATGACATTTTCCACAAAAAGTGGGGAAAATGTAATAGTAGACATCGTCATAGAATTAATAGGTTGCGTTTATAATTATTTATTAACTATTTGCAAAAAAAAAATGTTACATTATTTATTTTTGTTAACTTATTAATATTTAAATTATTTATATACGTAATATCTTGTGTTATATTCACAAATCTATTATGTAATTGTATTATTCTGTTAGACTGTCTAATAATATTATTCTGTCTAGTTAGTGGTATATTTATATAAATATCTGTTATTTATCTTCCATAAAATCTTCTATTATTTGTAAATATTAATTTTTATATAATACTCAATGGCCTTATTCTATGATATATAGAGAAGTGGAAGAAATGGAGAAGGCAAATGCCTACGTCTATTTCTTCCACTTTTTCTAATCCAGTCCCACTTACACTTAACAAGTGAGTAGTTGTCAGATAATCATTTTAGCTGTCAGATATTTTTTCATTAGTTATTCCTTACTAACTGTGGCTGTGGCCCGCGGCTTCACCCGCATATTAAAGCATACACTGATCTCGATTCTTGCGATTCTAAGAATCTATGTGATATATTTATTTTAAATCGGTACGTGCCGGCACGTGTTACAACATTTACGTTGAAACCGATCAACTTTCACAAAATGGATATAATATTAGAAGGAATCACGAGACTTAAGAGTGCGGTCAGCTTCAAGTGATTATTATTATTACTTTATTGGATATTATGTTTTGCATTAAAACAAAATAAGATTCCGAAGGAGATAAACTATGCAAATAAAACATGAAATTAAAAATGTTTATTAAATAATATAAAATCAAATCAAATCAAATATACCCAAGTACTTAAAAAAATATCTCTTAATGACCCTGAAACTGCAACTGTTTTCTAAACAACTGCCGCTTTGATGACGCTATCCTCGAAATGTTGTGTTTTTAAGATTCATAAAAGAATCGAACTAAAAATGTTAATTATATATATAAATTAGAATAAACAAAAACAATCATAGGCTAAGTTATTTATCCTAAAACACATACCATAAAAAGGTAAAAACAACTGCACATTATCAAAACAAAATAAAATCAACACATTTTTTCGTGGCAAATGGGAACCCTAATAATATTTGGCAAATAAAAATACCTATTTATATGTGAATGAGACTGTTAGCAGTATGTATGTATTTTTCTTTCAATTTGCATTTATTATAATTATAATAATAAGAAAAAATGGGGTAAAATCTTTTACTATGCCTAGCAACATTTTCATTATATTGGCGTCTGTCAAATTTATTATTTATTATTTTGTTTTGATGAATGTTTTATTACAAAAATATAAGATGCTAGGCAGTACTTAACCATGAAATGAGATTTTTATATTTTTTTCGTTATTATGTGATGGGTTGTGACACCCTTTCACAGTACAGTATGTCATTTTTTTTAAAAATTGTGCGAGCTGTTTATACGACTACGTGGTCTCGAGTACTAACACGCCAAATGTCGTAATTAGCCTTTAAAGGCTAACTTGAAATGGCTTCACTTTGCGTGCGCCAACTGCGGTTCTAAGCCTAATACTTCTTTGTTTAAGAGAATCACGATAGCATACAGTTTAAGCCAGTTTGACGTAAATAAATATCAATGAACGGCTCTCTTTTTTTACTTTTTTTTTAATTGCTTTACGGCTCTGGGTTCTAGCCCTTCTGAGCCTGCTTTTTTACTATACCAAGCCAGGGCTAGACTACTATCCCAACTAATAGTGTTGATGCAGCCAAAGATGGTAAAGCATACTGACTTAATAAAAGCCTATTCACTCTGGCCTTGAAGACAGATGCTGGCAACTTATTCCACTCTTTGCTGTTGATGTACGCATGATGAACGATGTAGCAAACCGTTTGGTTCGAATGCGTGGTAAGTCAACGAAAGGGTGGAGACTGGCCAAGCGTCTGCGACGGTGAAAGGGAAAGGGAGGAATTAAGTTGTGCAATTTCTGCGCACACTACTATATATACTAGTCTTATTTCAATGTACTTATAATGCAATTTTGTTAGGTTCTATAATATAAGAGCACCATGGCTCTGACATACGCTTCTGCGGTAGAAGACTTAAAATAATAAAATATTTTTTTTAAATCTCTTTCCACACGAGGCGAATGTCGTTGCCGCTATTAAATGTGACTAAAGAGTGTTCAATGTTTTATTATTAAAGTGTTTGCGTTATAGTATGATGCGGGTGACAGCTTACAGTTTAGCGCACAGAACACATTTACTCTCTACCAAGAGGTTTAGCGTGTCTAGAGATGGAACAATATTAAATCGATTTAAAAAAGGGGATTAACGATACTCAAAGCAAAGCAAAACTTATCAATTAATTATTGATAAAAAAAATTAAACATCAACATACATATTTCTTTGTAAATTACAAACCATGTAAATTTTGGTTACAGTTTAATATAAATTATGACCTTATAGTTACATATGTATACTATGTAATAATTTGAAAATAAAAAAAAATGTTTTTTTTTCAATTATTTGTTTAGAAATGAAAGTTAGTAGTTTTTGAGGATTTAAGAAATAATACTCAAACAATATAAAACCAAAAATATATTCATCTCGTTAGTACATACATGTTTTAACACAAAAAATCAATACACCGACAGGCACTAAAGAATGAACCGATTGGGATTATCGTGGAGAGTACTTAGGGTTGTCAGGGGCGTAAGTAAAGCTGCGCAACTCGTAAGGGACCCCGGGACTATTCTCGTAACCGATTTCCGAATAATCACTTTTTAGTTCCGAATTGTAATCACTGCAGCCTCCGAAGACTCGATTCGGACTTCTGTTAGCTACGCCTGTCTCGTTTGCTGCCTTGTCCTTCTGGTCAGATTCGTTATCCTGGGGATTGTTCTGTATGGGGCGGTATAGGGCGGAATGTGCCGTCGCCGTATCTAAGTCGGCTTTCCTCGATACGATTATACGTATGTCTGTGTGCAGATATAGTTTACCGGATTTTGAGGTCATGAATCTGTGAAAAAGAGAAATGAAAGAATGAAACATGGCATTTCCTTTGCAAAACACATTATATATCTAGGATCTAACTAGTTGGAGCCACGCTGCAGCTACATTATGGTATACACAAATAGGAATGAAAAAAAACCTGAGGAATGACGTCTATAAAGCTGGAATGGTTATATGGGCACCACCACCACCACAAACATTAACCGTCCACCTTTATAGACGTCGAGGAATAGCCACGCTGTAACAGAATAGCACCGCAGAAAAGCAACTTAATACTGTTGAGTTTGTGTATATAGAGAAACGGAGGCCCTTCTTTACTGGAAACGCAACATTCCATTTTAGTCCTTAAGGATGACAACTGCATTTTAAATCTTAATCGAGGATAAATTCAGGTGTCATTCAGGCGATCACCGCAGGTGTATGAGATGAGGTGCAGGTGCAGGTGTGTGCTCACTGTGTGTGTGTGCTCGCTGTGTGCGCTCACCGCAGGTGTATGAGGTAGCGCAGCCACTTGCGGTGGTCGGGCGGCGGGTGGCGCGGCGCGGCGGCCGGCACGTACAGGTGCAGGTGCAGGTGCAGGTGTGTGCTCACTGTGTGTGTGTGCTCGCTGTGTGTGCGCTCACCGCAGGTGTATGAGGTAGCGCAGCCACTTGCGGTGGTCGGGCGGCGGGTGGCGCGGCGCGGCGGCCGGCACGTACAGGTGCAGGTGCAGGTGCAGGTGCAGGTGTGTGCTCACTGTGTGTGTGTGCTCGCTGTGTGTGCGCTCACCGCAGGTGTATGAGGTAGCGCAGCCACTTGCGGTGGTCGGGCGGCGGGTGGCGCGGCGCGGCGGCCGGCACGTACAGGTGCAGGTGCAGGTGCAGGTGTGTGCTCACTGTGTGTGTGTGCTCGCTGTGTGTGCGCTCACCGCAGGTGTATGAGGTAGCGCAGCCACTTGCGGTGGTCGGGCGGCGGGTGGCGCGGCGCGGCGGCCGGCACGTACAGGTGCAGGTGCAGGTGCAGGTGTGTGCTCACTGTGTGTGTGTGCTCGCTGTGTGTGCGCTCACCGCAGGTGTATGAGGTAGCGCAGCCACTTGCGGTGGTCGGGCGGCGGGTGGCGCGGCGCGGCGGCCGGCACGTACAGGTGCAGGTGCAGGTGCAGGTGTGTGCTCACTGTGTGTGTGTGCTCGCTGTGTGTGCGCTCACCGCAGGTGTATGAGGTAGCGCAGCCACTTGCGGTGGTCGGGCGGCGGGTGGCGCGGCGCGGCGGCCGGCACGTACAGGTGCAGGTGCAGGTGCAGGTGTGTGCTCACTGTGTGTGTGTGCTCGCTGTGTGTGCGCTCACCGCAGGTGTATGAGGTAGCGCAGCCACTTGCGGTGGTCGGGCGGCGGGTGGCGCGGCGCGGCGGCCGGCACGTACAGGTGCAGGTGCAGGTGCAGGTGTGTGCTCACTGTGTGTGTGTGCTCGCTGTGTGTGCGCTCACCGCAGGTGTATGAGGTAGCGCAGCCACTTGCGGTGGTCGGGCGGCGGGTGGCGCGGCGCGGCGGCCGGCACGTACAGGTGCAGGTGCAGGTGCAGGTGTGTGCTCACTGTGTGTGTGTGCTCGCTGTGTGTGCGCTCACCGCAGGTGTATGAGGTAGCGCAGCCACTTGCGGTGGTCGGGCGGCGGGTGGCGCGGCGCGGCGGCCGGCACGTACAGGTGCAGGTGCAGGTGCAGGTGTGTGCTCACTGTGTGTGTGTGCTCGCTGTGTGTGCGCTCACCGCAGGTGTATGAGGTAGCGCAGCCACTTGCGGTGGTCGGGCGGCGGGTGGCGCGGCGCGGCGGCCGGCACGTACAGGTGCAGGTGCAGGTGCAGGTGTGTGCTCACTGTGTGTGTGTGCTCGCTGTGTGTGCGCTCACCGCAGGTGTATGAGGTAGCGCAGCCACTTGCGGTGGTCGGGCGGCGGGTGGCGCGGCGCGGCGGCCGGCACGTACAGGTGCAGGTGCAGGTGCAGGTGTGTGCTCACTGTGTGTGTGTGCTCGCTGTGTGTGCGCTCACCGCAGGTGTATGAGGTAGCGCAGCCACTTGCGGTGGTCGGGCGGCGGGTGGCGCGGCGCGGCGGCCGGCACGTACAGGTGCAGGTGCAGGTGCAGGTGTGTGCTCACTGTGTGTGTGTGCTCGCTGTGTGTGCGCTCACCGCAGGTGTATGAGGTAGCGCAGCCACTTGCGGTGGTCGGGCGGCGGGTGGCGCGGCGCGGCGGCCGGCACGTACAGGTGCAGGTGCAGGTGCAGGTGTGTGCTCACTGTGTGTGTGTGCTCGCTGTGTGTGCGCTCACCGCAGGTGTATGAGGTAGCGCAGCCACTTGCGGTGGTCGGGCGGCGGGTGGCGCGGCGCGGCGGCCGGCACGTACAGGTGCAGGTGCAGGTGCAGGTGTGTGCTCACTGTGTGTGTGTGCTCGCTGTGTGTGCGCTCACCGCAGGTGTATGAGGTAGCGCAGCCACTTGCGGTGGTCGGGCGGCGGGTGGCGCGGCGCGGCGGCCGGCACGTAGAGCGTGCGCTGGCGCAGGAAGGTGCGCGCGCGCGGCGGCATGCGCGTCAGCTCGTACAGCACCACGAACATCTTGACCAGCGTGCCGTGCGGGTTGAACAGCGACACCTGCACCGTGCCCGCGCGCGGCACGCGGTACCCGCCCGCGCCCAGGTTGATGTGCCCCTGCAAGCCATTCATTATAATAATGCACAATCTCCTTTTGAAAACTTGTCAAAGATACCTCAAAACTGGAAAACAAGATTGTCCAACCAGTGCGTCTTAACAGTGATGACTTATGAATCTGAGATGTGTGCCTTCACTACTGGCCGTATGAGAAAGCTCAAGGTCACTCAGCGAGCTATGGAGAGGATGCTATGCTATGTTTAGGGTTTCTGTGATGATTAACTTAGAAATAAGGATATTCGCAGTAGAACCAGAATAATAGTAATGTCCTCCAGACCGAATTTCGATCACGGCGGTAAGTCTCGATGGAGATTACCCATCTGCGCAGAACAGGATTATAGTGCACATGTGTATGCACAAACAAAGGTGCACTCTCATAATCTAATGGGAAGGTAATTCGAACCGACCGAAGAAAGATCAAGTGCAAGACTTACGGCTTTGCGTGCTTTCCGAGGGACGGGGCTGAAACACCCCCAACTTCCTGACTCCGAGCTGATACTTTTATTTTATTATTTATTTCGCACTGAAAATTTCTTGATGGAAATGAGTTATTGAGTTACAATTACATTGTGTGCGTTGATTGTGCGATTTACTTAGTTATTCCCAACCTATTCAAGTCAGTTCCTGAGACTCTTGTACACACCCTGAGCTGCCCCAACAAAGGTAGACTGGACTAGGGCCCATAAGTAGCCCAATAGACGGGCAGCAGAGGACGGGGCCCGACGGCCTATGGAGACCTAACCTCCACAATAGAGATAAGGCTAGGTAAATAAATAGTACGTACCTGGATCCGAAGCTAAGACCGCCCCAAGGCTCGGTCAGGCCGTAGGTAGGTGTAGGTGAATGTAAACTGGTGTGTGGTAGTGTTTATATATGTAAGCTGCCCTAACTGAGGTGATCGGACAGCGGCCTGGTCCCATGCTGCCCCACAATGCTGCATCACTCCAGCAGGCGTCACCAATTGACAACTTCTTTCTTCATTTCACTATTTCATTCTATCCACTTTATTGTACATTTAACTAACTTCAAACTCAACTAATTCAACGTTCATCGTAAAATCAAACACGGGACACCCGACACAAGTAACGAACAGTAGTTCCAAGTTCAATATTCAATGTTCCGGATTCATTTATCACCAAATTACAAATAGGGAACTAACGCGATCTCTTCTCGAGTCACAAAATTCAGCGTTACAAACAACAAACTAAATTCCTTCGTTCGATATTAAATACTACGCCCGCATTAAGGATTCAAAATCCGCCTAGCTGACAAGCAAACTAACTACAGAGTCAACACACAAAAGGCTCTTAACGCGACGGTACAATTGCAACGAAATTACTCTAATCACTCAAATTCAATACAAGCCTCTTGTCAAGAACGTACAACTTAGACAAACTAATCCGAGGCGATCTTCACGAAATAACAAATTCATTAGCGAATTAAACAAATACTTAAAATCTAGACCAAAACCAAAACTGGTCGCGCGAAACCGCTGCAGCGGTCATCACCAAATACGTAAATCGACCGCACCGCTGATATCAAGCTACTGTAACGCACTCACGAGGCCGAACGCCGGCGTCGCACACGTCACCTCACACCATCGGGCGATGCGCCCAGCCAAACGTGATTGGATGGCGTTTCAAATGACCATGTTTGGGCCTAAACAACTGTACATCCATAAATTGCTGGTTCAGATCCGGCTAAAAGGACCACTACAAAAGGATTTTGGTGCATTTACAGATTATTATTGTCTTATTCTTGATATAGCTAACAATAAAACTTGATAATGCTTGTGAAAATATTTTTTTTTACCACTTGAATTATAATACATGTGCACATGTAGTGGTGTAAAAATATCCACTACCCCATATCATCACGTAGGTTTCGTAAAGGGGACAGAGGAAAACCAATCAAGAGATTGGCAGAAGCGTCTTCCTAAAAACGACTAAAAATAAAATTGTGGTTACCGACAAGCTTGCCAAGCGTGACAGCTATAGCAAATGTTCCCCCTACGAGATAATCTATGGAGGAGGTCTATGTTCAGCAGTGGACTTTAGTAACGGAAATGGTGCATACAAATAGTTTTTTTTTTTTGTGTCTGTCGGGAACTGACTTGAACAGGTTATAACTAACTTTATGTTGTTATGAAGAAGAAGAAATGATGAGTATGGTTTACGCACAGAATTTACTTTGTACAAGGATATTATAGGTGTTTATGCGACCTATCAAAGACGTTTGATTGCTAACATAATGATATGTTATTGAATAAATTAAGGCATGGGTATCTATCTCAAAGAAATTGTTAAATTTATGAAATCGAACTTGTCTAACCGGTTACAAAAAGTATTTATTGATGAAACTGAGACTTCTATCTTTTATCTGGGGATCAATATGGAGAGCATTGCTCTTTTGTATATATATACATGACTTTAATTTCTATCCTTAGAACTTAGGTATATAAAACAGAATTGTTTGATGGCGATATCTCTCTAGTATTTAATATTGACAAAGGTAAAACTCATTGGACGATGTAAATGCTGCTGTATCTAAGTATTTCACTGATTTACAATAAACAAAAAGCAAGTTGCTTAATCTACTGAAGACGCAGTTTTATCTCTAACAGAGTTCATTGTAAGACATTTTGACAGTAATAATAAATATACAGGAATATTCTTGGACCTCGCAAAGGCGTTCGATACTGTCTTTGTCCCGATACTGTTAGCTAAGATGGAAATACTAGGTATCAGGGGTATATCTCTGAAGTTGTTCACAAGTTATCTATCTAATAGAACTCAACTTATAATAATTGGAAACTTAACGAGTGAAAAAACTAATATGTACCTCAAGGTAGCATACTTGGCCCTATCTTGTTCCTCATATATGTGAATGATCTATGTGGCCTTAAAATGCGCGGCTGTGTAACTGTTGCCTGTTGTTTGTTGTCCTGGTATGAAAGCACAGATAGGTCTCGAAGAAGTTATGTGATGGCTTAAAATGAATTTACTAACTTTTATAAAATCTTCAATAGGTCAACATGAACTTGACTCTTATCCTTTCAAAGCACATATGTATAAGGTCTCTTCATCACTTATAATATGTAACTGTCAGATTCTAGAGAGATTAAAATCCCTTTAATATAGTGTGGTACTCGTATAGTGTAATGTGTGACTTACCATGTAAGGCGCGTTGGTTCCACCTGGCGCATAAAAGAAGACGGTGACGGGCAGGCGGCGATGCGGCGGACAGAAAGCGCCCGAAGCTCCCAGCTCCGCCGTGAAGCCGTGCACAGTCGCCACCGGCTCCAGACGCCCCTTCAGCGCGGATTCCTCAAAGCTGCCTGCGCCGAGAACACCTCTCTCAGCGAACGGTTACTGCTAGAGCCCCTTTACTACCCAAACCCCTTCAATAAGGGTAACAAATAAGCACACAGTCCACCTGATGGTAAGTGAATACTGTGGCCCATAGACATCTACATTTATCCTCGATTAAGAATCAATATACAGATGCGTTGTCACCCCTGAGGACTAAGATGGAATACGCCGTATCCAATAAAAAGGATATCCGGTTCTCTACACCAGGGATTCCCAAAATTTTAAGGTAGTGGTTATTACTCTCGCTAAAGACTTACTTTTCTTTCAACTTCTTCTTCTCTTTCTCTAGGTTCTTATCATCACATATTTTGCGCATTTCACAATAATATTTGTACCTAAGTGTGATACTATTTAACAAGTAAAAATAAATAATTGCGCGGAACCCTGATGATTTTTCACCATACGAAACACAGCAGCATTAAGCTACTAATTTACGTTGGTCTATGAGGGTGTGATCCTACCCCGGTTGAGCCGACCTATTCGTGCTACAACCATAATAAAACTGCAGCAAGGCTCTAATACGTACAGGAAAAAGGCATCTTTCTTTGTAGAGAGGATTTGATTTAATAGTCATGATTGTTAGGCGGATTGAGAACGCCTCTCTCAGCTCCTTCAATAAGCTTTAATTTCTTTACGAGCCCGTAATTTCACAGTTAGACATTGGCATCTTCCGTTGTAGGAACGAATTTTCTTAATCACCCTTGTCTGGCGAGGTAACTATTGCAGTGCCAAACGTGAGCACCTTTGGCGCAGCTGCCTGGCAACTGATGTGAAATGAGATTGTTACACCACCATACATAGCCATATGATTTTGCTAATATTTCCTTTAGTCGCCTTTTACGATACCCACGGGACTAAATAATGGTATCTGTTACGCCGGCACCAAAAGCCTTTTTACTGCCGAAATCGCTACCCCGATCATAGATAATTAGGCAGCAGGACACCAGGACGCCAGTAGTCTCCAGCAGTTAAGAAAACTAGGCGGTATTGCACGCTATTATTCTGCCGACCTATTTATGTTATAACCTTAATAAAGCTAAAGCATGGCTACCACGTACAAGATACCGTCTATAATAGTGAAAATGACAATAATTTATAACACTTGTTTATTTACCTACACATAATGAACTACTATTTGATACACTCTACAAATAATAATATACACATAAATAAATAGATATGTGTCTTTGTGAGTCGCCTTCTTGTAACAGGAGAAAATTCTGGTGGGTTAATAATCTTTGACGGCTCCGTGGCGCAGTGACTTAGTAACGAGTTGCAGCGCTAAGGGCCGCAGGTTCGTGTCCCACACGGAAAAAGTGTTTGTATGGCCTACAAATAATTGTTGTGGGTCTGGATGTTTGTCCTTGTGAAGTTTATGTATATAAACTGCCCACTCTATACAGGAGAAAATCCTAGTGTAGACGTAGGTAACGTTTTTTATAAAAATTTGAAAATTTAAAAAGAAATCCGCTCACTAGATGTCGCTAGTTGGGTTAGGTTAAATTATTTGTTACACAATGTCATTAAGTTTTTTTTTTATATAAGGGAAACGAGCATGCGGCTCACCTGATGGTAAGTGACTACCGCCGCCCATGAACAACCGCAATATCAAGGGAACTGCAGATGCGTTGCCGGCCTTTTAGAAAGATGTAAGCTCTATTCTTGAAGGTCTCTAAGTCGTATCGGTCCGGAAAAATCGCCGATGGTAAACAATTCCACAGAGAAGTTGTACGAGGAAGAAAACTCCTAGTAAAACGCACAATCGTGGACTGTCAAGCATCCAGATGGTGAGGATGGTATCGTGAATTTTGACGTGATATGCGTTCGTGAAATTTGGCGGTAAAATCGATATAAAATACAAAAGGATGCAACATCCCTACGCAGTGCCAGTGTATCCAGCCGATCAGAAAGAACTCGGTCGTCGACGATTCGAAACGCTTCATTATTCGAACTCATATCGGCCCAGATATGAGATCACTGTATTCCAAGTGAGGCCGAACTTGCAATTTGTAAAGTTGCAAGCGATGTGCCGGCATGAAATACTGTCTCGCTCTGTTGAGCACGCCAACCTTTTTAGAGGCCTTCCCTTCCAAGTGATCACGAAACTGCACACTATTCGATATGTCGACGCCGAGGATTCCGATGCAATCTGAGGCAACAAGGGGAGTACCTTGAAACTGAGGAGATACGACAAAGGGGTTCTTTTTAGCGGAAAACGCGCAAACTTTTCTCTTCTGGGGATTGAACTGGACTAGATTTAGTCCGAGACTTTGTTCAGCAAAAACTCGACTACAGACACAAGTTTGTGCCGGTACTCGGCGACGTTTTCTCGAGAAATATTGGCACGGCCGGTATATAAGGCATCACCAGTGCTGTCGTCTGCATAACAATGAATGTTACCAGTATGCAACATATCATTGATATGCAGGAGAAACAGCGTTGGTGATAGCACACAGCCTAGTTGAACACCAGCGTTGATAAGCTTGAAATCAGAGCATACACCGTTTACTACGACCTTGATGCTCCGATCAGCAAGAAAACTGGTGATCCATTGCACAATTTCTGGGGAAGCCCATAGGAAGGAAGCTTCGAAAGAAGCGCTTTGTGTCAGACCCTATCGAAGGCCTTCGCTATGTCCAAACTAACGGCCAATGCCTTCCCCTTGAACTCTACTGCCTCCGCCCATCTACGAGTCAGGTAGACCAGAAGATCACCAGCTCATCGACCCCGACGAAAACCGTATTGGCGGTCACTAATCAGCTGGTGATCCTCAAGGTACCTCATGTGCTGGCAGTTTATAATGGATTCCATTATTTTGGAGAACAAGGAGGTGATGGCAAATAGGTCTCTAGTTGGACGGGTCTGAGCGGTCGCCTTTTTTAGGGATCGGGTGGACCAAAGCTGTCTTCCATGAATTCGGGACTACGCCTTGGGAGTAGGAGTACCGGAAAAGACGCATTACAACCGGTGCCAATTCCAGAGCACACGTCTTCAGCACAATGTGACGGACTCCATCAGGCGCACTCGACTTGCTAACGTCCAGGGAGAAGAGTGCTTTGCGAATCGAGCGCTATGTAAACCGCACATCCGGCATGGAGCACTCACACCGTGGGATGGTCGGCGGTGCGTTCTCCCCGTGATCTAGAGTCGAGTTGGATGCAAAGAGAGAGCTTAACAGATCGGCTTTCTCCTTTGCGGCATGGGCCAGTGAGTCGACCTCTCTGTGCAGAGATGGAAGGAATGGCAGGCAGAAGTTCCCTTGGACAGACTTGGCGAGAGATCAGAATGCACGGATTCCCTAAGGAAGGCGAACTAACTTCTCGCCAATTCTGCCGATGTGGTCATACCTTGCCATGGCAATGACGCTTTTGAACGACCTGGAGACGGAATTATACTTATTTTTAAGAACGCTGGTGTTTACATCCCGAGACGTTGATGCGTCAGCCCAGGCCCGGTAGCACTCCTGCTTATAGCGTGATGCTATTTTACAGGAACGACCAAACCATGGCTGGGATCTGCCTTCGATGGGCACCACAGAGGATGGAATAAAAAGTTCCATACCCTCAAGTACCACATCAGCAACAGAATCGGCAGCAACGCTGGGATCTTCCGGCGAGAAACAAAAAACCGCATCTCGTCCCAATCGGCCCACCTATAGTGCCAAACAAGGCGGCAAGCTGCAGATCGCAACTGCGATGGGAGCGTGAGTGGCGCCGTACTCCGCATCAGACAATGGTGCGAAGAGCCTAGACGGGTTTCGACGGAGACTTGATATCCGTCCGGATGAGAGGTCAGCAGAAGGTCCAACAGGGAAGGTACTTGATACTCCACATCTGGGATCCGCGTAGGCAAAGTAAGCAGTTGTGTTAGACCATATGCCAAGGCAAAGTCATAAACAGATCTACCCGCATGATCGGTTAAACGAGAACCAAACCATTCAGTGGGCGTTAAAATCACCGAGTAACACGATCTCTGCGAATGGGACCTGTTGTAGCACGGAGTCTGCAGCCATTTGGACGTGGTCGATGAGTCAGTCTGTGTCGGCATTACCACTATGGGACGCGGGGACAGTCGTCGCTGTCTACGCGCAGCCATAGGATGGACAGGTCTCTGACGTATACGCAAACTCCAGCCCGGGGCACAAAGGAGTGTTCTAATTTGTACCCCGGGTAGGAGAGATATGAAGTATCAGCCGGATAGGACACCTGAGTCTCGGTTAAAAAGAGTAAGGTCGGCTTGGCCGTCTCTAGATGGTAATGAACAGCGTTAAGGTTTGGAATGAAGAAGAAGAAATTCATGGATAGCGTGACAGGGGTCGCCTTGGTGTTATTGCTACGCCTGCCCCGAGCAGTATTAGTCGCGAGCGGAATTTTTTTCATTCCGCTACCATGTTGGGGTGAGCGATTGGGCCTCCGGCCATTTGCACTCACCAAGCGCAACGCAGAGGTAAACCTCTACTTCACGCTAGTATTCTGTGAGGTCGTGGTACCACCCCGGTTCGAGCCGGCCCATTCGTGCGACAGCAAAAGCTGCCGCGTGGCTCTACCACTGTTAAAATTTGAGAAGTTGCGCTATAAATAAAAGGTTTGTAGAGTATTTAAATGCACAAACCGCCGCACTTTAATTTTTTATACTTGTTTAACTCTGTTTTTAATTTTTATACTTTCAGCAATATCCGTAGTTGGGTTTATATGGTTAGAATTTTGCAGAAGTGGCAGTATTATACGTATGCAATGAAAGTGAAGATTAAAATATATAAGTCTTACCAAGCAGTCCAGTACTGGAACCGACGCGAAGTTTCGGTTTTTCAGGGCGACGCGGTGGCGGGGTAGGAGTTCGCGGAGTAGTGGCGAGTTCGCAACTCGCTGACGGGTGAAAGAGAGCGCTAAAAGAAAATCATACACAATTTGAACATCAAATCAAATGAATTATGCGAATGGATGTAATTTAAAACCGAACACACGATGATTCTGTGGTGAAATGGCTTAGCAATGAGTTTCATCGTTAACAGCCGCGGGTCTGAATCCCGTGTGGAACAAGTATTTGTATGGCCTACAAATAGTTGTTGCGGATCTGGATGCTTGTCCTTGTCAAATTTATGTATGTAACCTACAATACTGTACTTTTAATTTTAACTAATAGTATATTTTATTAGTTAAAATTAAAAGTTTACCGTAACAGTCTTTTGCCATATTTTCCATGTATGATCGGCAACTGTATTTTTAATATAGAATAAGGATGACAAACGAGCACATAGTCCACCTTATGTTCAATGGTTGCTGTGACCCACAGACATCTACATCTATCCTCAATTAAGAATCAAAATGCAGATGCATTGTTACCCGAGGACCAAGATGGAATGGCTCATTTCCAGTAAAAAGTGTATGCGGTTCCGTGACAAACGAGCACGCAGTCCACCTGATGGTAAGTGATCGCTGTGGCCCATAGACATCTACATCTATCTTCGTTAGCGAACTAAAATGCAGATGCGTTGTCACCCGTGAGGACTAAGATGGAATGCCTCTTTTCCAGTAAAATGGGTCTCCGGTTCTCTACACTCACCAAACGAAACGCGGCAGTATTAAGCTGTTATTTTACGCTGGGATTCTGTATTCTGTTTCCCTCAATCGCCGCTTACGATACCCACGGGATGATATGGAGTACTCTTTTTATCTCTTTTTTTTAATCTCTTTTTTAAAAAACGTTAACCCCACTATAGGATTTTCTCCTGTGTCGTGGAGGCAGTTTTTAGTACTGGACATTCTATCACCGCTACTTTTAACTAATAACTAATTTTACATAAACGATTCGACTTTGTGTACTAAATTCGAATGATGTTCTTTTTTATGTGTATTACCTCATAACTTTTTTCTGGGTGAACCTATTTCGATCATTCTTTATTTGGAAGCTAGTGCTTCTTATCTGGTCCCATATAAATTTGATCAAGGTATGACCAAGTTTTTGAGTTATTCTTAATAATTTATATTGAAGTCGGTTGTACAAAATTTTTAATTTTAAATTATCGACTAACCTTTTAATACCAGACACGCCGTTAATGGAGTCATCAAAATCAAAACAATTGTTTCCTCTTCGCAAGGGTGCGGGACTAGACGTCAAAGGGAGACCAGTCTTGGAATGGAACACCATTGATGCAGCCGAATCAAATCTCCATCTAAATCTATCCATCTCGGTTGGGGACGGCACTTGGTTCTCACTTTTAGATTCAGGGAACTTAAAACTCTCTTGGTCTGGGATCTCCTTCGGGGAGTCCACATCACATCTATCAAATGTTCCATAGTCGCAGTTCTCGTACAGAACGTAATCTTCATTGATTGAATACGTCTTTTGTCTTTTCGGTTCAGGCTTAGGTACTGAGAAAACTGTGTCGTCGTCTCTAAGATTCAGTTCTTCTATGTCTTTTTCCCTGTGCTCTTCTGTGTTCTTCTGCGTTCTATCCGCGACTATCTTCTCTATTCTATCAACAATCGGAAAGACCCGTCTCAGCTTCGGCCGCTTTATAACAGACTCGTCTTCCCACTTAACACTAACACTATTGTCTACTACACTATTTATATCACACGTTAAATTACTGCTAGAATTATCACATTTGTGCTTTTTCAACGCCTTATCATCCTCTTCGCATTTCCTTCTTGCTCCGTTCTCCTTGTCCATTGAAGCCAGGTCGTAGTTCGCTTCGGACCTGACCATTCGTCGGTCACAGTTATCGCACTTCATCTGGATTACATTTCCGCACTGACAGGAGATATCTTCTGTTTGGGTTGACACTGTATTCGTTTTTTTGAACTCTGAAGGTGGGATAATCTCTGTTTCGACAAATGGAGATTTACTCTCGATTCTACTCGCTGGTAAGGTGAGATATGTTTGGTTTCTATAGCAACCGATGGCTCTGAATCTGTCGAAGCGAGACGCCTGCAGAATTGGAATAGAGGTGTGCGTAGTCTTTTGTTCTCCTTCAGAAGACGTGCTGTCACACAGCTTCTTCAGTTTGCTCTCCTTCCTCAACCGCCTCTTATACTTAGCTATTTCCTTAAGCCGTCTCTCGTCTAACTTCTTCGGCTCTTGTGGACTTACACTAATGGAAGATCTATGATTCCCGTCCGATTCCTCGTCACAATTGCATTTATGTTTACCGTTTTCACTGCAAGGGGTCAGCATTCTGTCGTCAACTATTTTGGACCTTTCAGATTCTGGATTGGAAGTATACACATATTCCGTGGAGCCTGGATTTGAAATGATAGAAAGTCGGCGACTTGAGGTACCAATATTGGAATTAATCGCGAAATCGGAGTATCTGGAGCATCTTGGACCTAGAGTGAGATCATTTAACTTCACCACCAGCTCGTCGTGGAGGTTGGTGGGCATTTCCTTACTGACGCGCCGTTTCGGTTGGCAGGTACATTTGACTGTTGGTATATCCTCAGTCCGGGGGAGACTCTCGAGGGCCACTTTTAAGTACAGATTACTGCCTATGTTAGTGATGGGGAAGTTGTGGTCGGTGGGGGGGCGGCTGAACTCAGCCATCTTGTAGCTCTCTCCCGGAATCTTAATGGAGTAGACAATGTTAAGCTTGCGTTCTTCTGTGGACAGGTCCTCCTCGTCGCAGTTTGCTTCCAGTTTTTTGTAGTTGCAGGTCTCACGGCTCAGCTTCCTCCTGGAATGGGAATGGTGTAAAAATTAATTATCACGTACAACATGGATGCCTCATGGTAGCCGTGCAACAGAATCCACCATCCTGTATAATTTCATGGATGCGACTATTCAAAACTTATGGCCTCCGCGTTCAGTTTTCCTAAGTCGCCTCTTTCGACACCCACGAGAGGATATTGGTAGATCGTTCTCACAGATTTCACTTATATTTTTAAATTCAAGTTGTAACAAAATAAAAAACAAACAGTTCACTCCGCGTCGCATGTTACTTCATTCTATATCTCATGCATCATCATCAGCATCATCATTACAGCCCTTCACAAGTCTCCTGCTGAACGTAGGCCTCCCCCAAAGAATGCCACGGTCCTGAGCCACCTGCATCCTGTATCTTAATGCATACAGTATAACGAGAAGTCTTATGTCTTACGAAAAAGTACATAAATCACTATGTTTCATGTGTCTATTACTACCTAAGCTCAACTCTCCCTCCCCTCTCTTACTGTACCTATAATTCGATGTAACGTTTCATTTATTTCATCGTCTCATATTCCGTTCTCACATGTAGGTATATAGTAAATATAACTGAAGTGAGGCATATGCGAGCACAGCAGTCTGACATATATAATCTGTAACTTTTTAGCAGTTGGTTGCAGATGATGATGTAGAGTTATCATGAAGTTTAATGTAAGTTGAATAATCAATTTAATGTTATTAGACATGTTAAAGTTAAGTACATAACACTAAAAATTAATATTGGTGAAGGTATCCGGGCTAACTATGACGTCGGGACGGTATTAATGCTTTAGCCTTACCGTCGCTCGCTAGGGTCCTCTTCCCCGGCTTTGCTTCGTTTGAGACGAGCCAGCCAAGCGGCCAGCTGAGAAAAGTGTAGCTGAGATCGTACCGCGTTCAGTAACCACTGCGATGATGTGAAGGCCGGTGCCTCATGGCTCCTGAAAATACAATCGGTGATCGCTACCATGCTGTTTCTAAAAGTTATCATATTTAATTGTACAACATATTAATGATAATGTACACGAATATTTGACCTTGAATAAAACGGTAAAAAGGTAATTAACCTATACGGATTTTACCGCGTTTCATTACATTTACTTATCTTTAATTACGGAGTTTGCTCAGTCGTCCCCGTGATCATGGGTGCTGAACAGCACCCGAAACGGTGGGAATTAAAAATAAGTAAAAAGTTAAATTAAACGCGATAAAATCCGTCAAATTAGTTATATACACCATATGACATTGTAAGTTAAAAAAAGTTCCAATAGGTTTCTGGCTGGTTCTTTCCAGGACAGATATTTTTTTCAAACCAGTGGTAAAAGAAAATGTTATTTTCAATAACTACTCTTGAAATCTAAATTGAATTAAAATTACTGTATTGTTTTGTAATAATTTTTTTATATATAATTTGGGTGACAAACGAGCACACAGTCCACCTAATTTTAAGTGGATGCTGTGGCACATAGACATTTATTCTCAATCAAAAATCGAAATGCAGATGCGTTGTCACCCCCGAGTTGATGGATGACATGGACGCTGATTGAGATGGATGCCTTGTTTCCAGTAAAAAAGAGCTCCGGTTCTCTACACCTCACTATACGAAACACAGCAGCATTAAACTGCTATTTTACACTGGTATTCTGTGAAATCGTGGTTCTACCCCGGTCGAGCCGACCCATTCGTGTTACAACGGTAATAAAGCTGCCATATGCAACCACGTAAAATTATTTTAAAAAAAAATTACGTGGTGGAGCCATGGTTTTAATTAGATTTTATTCAATAGCTATCTATATTTAAAAAATCAATCGCTGTCCGTTAGTCTCGCTAAAACATAAAAACGGCTCGATTTGATGAAATTTTTTGTGTGTTTGAAATTTGAATGGGTGGTTAGATAGATAAGTAGCCCTAGGGCCTAGATGGTTTAATTTTATTTGGACCCGGTAGGTTGTCTGTACTGCTGCCTAACCTGTTCGGATCGCTAGTAGAATAAAGATTTTAGAATTTTCTGAGATTCTGTTGTAAAAGCGTCATCGCCCCAATAATGAATTACTGAATCTGTGTAGTCGAGTAACTGGTGATGCTAGCTTGTGTCTGTTCTTAGTATTTACAGTAAGAATACCATTTACTTATTATTTTAATTTCTTTTATTATTGTGTACATACAAGTACATTATATTTTTGTGAATGTATTGAAGGGCCAAAGTTAATATAAGTATTAATTTCTTCAAATTTTTGCCCTAACGACTGTTTAGGTTTTAAATCATAGATTGGTCTTGTGGGCTTGTTCTATGCATATACGAGATTGTATGATATATATGCAGGGCAGAGGAGGGGTACGAGAGTGGGAGGTGTGGTGATGTGGTGGTGTGGCGGCGGCACTGAGCACAGAGCACTGAGCACTGACTTGTTGTGCAGGGCGCGCATGGTCCAGCGCTCGAGCAGCAGCGCGCGGCGGCGGCCGAGCGGCGCGTCGAACGCCGCGCCGTCGTCCGCGCGCCCCAGCGCCGCGCAGCACTCCTCGCACTCCGGCGCCAGCAGCACCTGCACCCAACGTCCACCATACATTCATTACTCAATCCTTGCTCTAATGCTTGTTCATGTGGTTCCAAGTTCGAGTCCCGGTTCGGGCCATAAAATCAGTTATTAGGTTTTTCTGTCAAAAAATCCGCAGTAAAAGTGTCTCGGAAAAAATTTACTTGATCTTGACATATATTAGGACGTTTCTATTCCTATCTTATAAATAACATTAAAAATAGTATAGTAATAGCAAAATAATATTTTAACCGACTTCAAAAAAGGAGGAGATACTCAATTCACTGTATTTATAGTATCTATCCGACATCAAAAAAAGGAGGAAGTACTTAATTCGACTAGTCAAGTCAAGTAGAAGGAGCTGGCACTGGGGAGCCCCAAAACAGAGATGTGACGCCGAACCTGCGAGTTGTAAAGTTGCAGGCGTTGTGCCGGCATGAAATACTGTCCAGCTCTGCTGAGCACGCCAAGCTTTTTAGAGGCCTATTTGGCCTTCTCTTCCAAGTGACCACGAAACTGCACATCACTCGATATGTCGACACCCAGGATTCCGATACTAACTGAGGCAACAAGGGGAGTGCCTTGAAACTAAGGAGATACGACAAAGGGGTTCTTTATAGCGGTAAACGCGCAAACTTGTATCTTCTGAGGATTAAACTGGACTAGATTTAGTCGCCCCCAATCCGAGACTTTGTTCAGCAAAGACTCGACTGCAGACACAAGTTTGTTCCGGTACTCAGCGACGTATACGTAGACGTAATCTTAAAAATAATATTAAAAAGTTTTTTTTTTTTTTACTATTTTAAGATCACTTCATGAGTTGTTATTTTATAAATACACGAATCGAATCGATCTAACACGAACATTAGTCCGTGTTAGATCGATTCGATTCGTGTATTTGTGTATTTGGCATTAGCCAGAAAGGGTAGAAAGAGGAATTCGTCTAATGTGAATGTGTGCGTGAGATAATGAAAACCAATCAGAATTCGTAGGGGTATCGTTTACGACCGGCGATTTTTTGGACCAATACGACTTAAGGACCTTCAAGAAACGAGCTTACTCTTTTTAAAAAGCCGGCACCGCAGCTGCAATGACTAATAATCTTCCGCACACCAAATGACGTTAGTTGGGAATGAGGTAAGATGAGGTAGTTGAGTCGTGGACGGCGGTCGACACTTTCATTCAAGATGAGGCATGCACGTTTGGCCCCACTGCTATTAAAACAATTATGCATAGAAATGCCCAATCTAAGGGTACACTAACCTCAATGCAAACTGGGATCTGGTCGTTCCATAGCGCCTGCACGTGGCTGTCCAACTGGGTTTCCACACCGGACTTGGGCTCCGCTGGCTCGGCGTTCTGCTGTTCCACCTGATCAAATTAAACACCATACTATATACGTCCCACTGCTGGGCACAGGCCTCCCCTCATTTCAGAGGGGGTTTTAGGGCAAGGAAGTGTCCGCCGCGCTGCCCCAGTGCGTGCTGGCGAACTTCACATGTCTTAAAGAAAATTTTCTCATTTCTCAGACATGCAGGTTTCCTCACGATGTTTTCCTTCACCACCGAACACGTGGTGAATCAGCACTTAAAATTGCAATTAACAATTTCATTGGTGCCGGCGAGGATCGAACCCGGTTTGCTTGCGTACTGTGAAATTTACAGCGAACGCTAACCATCTGAGCTACCACGGATCTAAATTAAACACCATATAAATATATATTCGACGGCTCCGTGGCACAGTGGCTTGCAATGAGTTGTAGCGTTGGGGGCCGCGAATTCGAATCCCGCACGGAACAAGTATTTGTAAGGCCTACAAAATAATTGTTCTGGGTCTGGATGTTAGTCCTTGTTCAATTTACGTATCTGCATTGTGATTTTTAATCGAGGATAGATGTAGATGTCTATTGGCCACAACATCCGCTTACCTTCAGGTGGGATGTGTGTTCGCTTGTCACCCATATTATATAAAAAAGTATGTTTGCAAATTGCATCCACTGTACAGAAGAAAATCCTAGTATAGGGGGGGGAATTTGGTGAGACACGCAATTTTATTTCATTTTCTTCACGCAGATTTAGCAAATAATTTTCACATGTCTAAGTTTTTTTTTACTTTCATCTCACCTGGCTGGTAGATGGATTGGCGGCGCGCAGCTTGGCCTGTAGTCGATCTGCGACGGGGCTTCGCGCGCGAACAATGAGACGGCCGAGTTGCCGGAGGAGCGAGGGCCCTGAAGCCGGTGGGGTCACCAGCGGGGCGGCCAGCGACTCGCAACTATGCATCTGTGGACACACAATACAACGATATAGTATACTTATATTTTTATAGAATGGGAGTGATAAACGAGCACACAGTTCACCTAATGCTAAGTGGATGCTGTGACCCATAAACATCGACATCTATCCTTGATTCAGAATAAAGGCCCGTTGTCATCCTAGAGGACTAAGATGGAATGCGAATGCCTCGTTTCCAGTTAAAAGGGTCTCCGATTCTCAACACTCACCATACGAAACACAGCAGCATTAAGCTGCTATTTTACGCTGGTATTCTGTTAGAGCGTGTTTCCTACCCTAATATAGCCAACCCATTCCGTAATTAAACCATAAAATAGTGCTGTAAGAAAAAAGTTATCCGGAGCACATAAACCACAGATAGTAAAATTTCAGTGGCCAAGAATAGGGAAAAGTAGAAAAACTGGAGGCCTATTAGAGAGGTCCCTCTAACAACAATTAGATAAATAACAACAATTCATTAAATATAATCTCTCAGTAAGTAGTTATTTATTGATTTTAATGATTATTTTATTCTATTTTAATGTTTTCTCCTTTGTGATTTAATGTTTCTCTCTGAATATCCCCGCCATCCGACTCCTAAACCACGCGCTCGTTCCATTAATAGAAATAATTGCAACGATAAGCATTATCTTATCTGTCCATTATGTTAGCAGTCTAATTACCGATAGCGAATGTTACACACTGATGGTACCAGGAACCCATAGATAGGGAACTACAATCGCAATACATAGTTGCTAGCGCCATTGAGGTTAGTGTCAATGGTGTCAATGTAAAATGAGCGTTCGTGTATTCACGACTTCAGTTATTTACATGGTAGACGTTTTGATTATGTTTTAAAATTATAAAATACGTTAATGACGTATATAAAATATTGGCATAATAGCGACCCACTTCGACTTGGGCTGGATTGGTTCTATTAATTTGGCGTTTTTAAATTCAAGATAATAATGAAAACTATTTACCTTACAGATAAAATACAAGTATTTCGGATAAAATATAACCTACATCGGTCCTGGCATTGTCCTCTATATGTTCGTAAAGTTTCATAACAATCGGTTCAGTCGTTCCGAAATTATACGTGGTACAGCCATGCTGTAGCTATATTAGTAGTATTAGTTGTAGCACGAATGGGTCGGCTCGACCGGTGAAGGACCACGCTCTCACAGAATACCAGCGTAAAATAGCAGCTTAACGCTGCTGTGTTTCGTATGGTGAGTGTAGAGAACCGGCGACCCATTTTACTGGGAAAGAGGCATTCGATCTTAGTCCTCACGGGTGACGACGCATCTGCATTTCGGTTCTTTATTGAGGATAAATGTAGATGATAATGTGTCACAACAACCACTTAACATCAGGTGGACTGTGTGCTCGTTTGTCACCCTATCCTATAAAAAAAATTAAACCAGAGAGACAGCCAGACAAAACGTAAAAATGGTTATTCATGTCTTAACTCGTAGCATGCAAATAGAAGGGATTCATTTCAACATTACAAGACAGACAATTTAATTTTATTTATTTATATAGATATGGACACCAGCTTCATGAGAACTCTATCACTCCATTTCGTGGCGTGGTGGTCGTAAGAGATTAACTCTGGGAAATCTGGGTCTCTCGTCTATGGCAAATGACAGGAACATCTCATGGACATTGAACTTCGTAATCAGCAAACGCGTTTACGACCATTAGACGAAAGAGATGGTCGATGAATGAGCTGCTGTGGCACACTTTTTAAGTGGTATTTGTCAAGAAGATCAGCATTCAGGTCAAAATAACACACATCACAGTAATCAATCAGGGGAAGAATTAAGGATTGCACAAGTACCTAATGTTTTAGTCCCGGGTGGAAGGAAATTTTTCAGACGGTAAAGAGCCCGTAAGGTACTGGTGACTTTCTGGCTAACATTTGTCACTTTGGGCATGCCAGCTCAAAGTGGAGTCAATGTTTAAGCCAAGATCCTTAACCGAAGAACATAATCCCAAAACAGAACCGTTGAAAATGATCGCGGGAAGAGCTGTAGTGTCTACTTTTTTAATTGTGCGCTGGCTACCTAGTATTATTGCTTGACACTTGGATGGATTAACACTTAAACCGAACCTGTCAGACCAGCTCTTAATATGCTCTAAATCCTTGTTGACCATATCCACCGCGACGGACACACAATCAACATTCGCCTGTGCGTACAACTGTACGTCATCGGCATATAGATGATACGCACACTGAAGATTGTGGGTGATAAGATTAATAAATACTGAAAATAACAATGGAGACAGAATACCGCCTTGAGGGACACCAGCATTTATGTCACACCAGCTTGATGCAGACTCATCAATGCGGACAGTCTGCTGACGTCCCCGAAGATAAGTTGAAAACCAATCCAGTGCTTCGGAAGAAATCATGGAATGGGAAAGGATAGAAAGTAGGATGTCATGACTGATGGTATTGAAGGCGTTTGAAAAGTCAACCAAAGCCAGTACAGTGACTTTGGTGTCCTCCATGCCCGCCCTAATGTCACCAGTGACCTTAAGAAGAGCGGAAACAGTGCTGTGACCGGGCCTGAAGCCAGACTGAAAAGGGCTTAAGAGCGTAGTCGGTCTGCGCAGGAATTGAGAAATAGGTATTTGAATAAACAATTGCCGTCGCGCTATATATGGTCTCCCCCCATAGAGTGCGATAGGGACAACTGCAGATCAGAACGATTTTACCTACAAAAACCATGACAGATCGATGTTTCGTATTCCCCTGTTTCCTCTTCGAAAACTAAGCCGATTAAATTATTTTTGGTATCAAAATTTAAAGGAAGAATAGATCTATGCTCCTATTACTTGTTTTTATGTTAAAACTTTTCAAATTTCTTTGGTAGTCGTCTGATTACGGAGGTAAAAACGGGGCATTTTTTTAGGTTTTTGGAATGTCATATTTATTTTTGTAATAATTTATTGGAATAAAATGATTGACAGGGGCATGCCTACAATAGACCTAGATTTTTATAAACAAAAACGATTACTCTAGAGGCATTATCCAAGTAGAGAATAGGGGAATACATTTGTATGGAAAAAATGCAGCCCGTCTACGCTCTTAATAAATTGTTCTTATAAACAAACAGAGATAGTTGCCTATGTACAGAGGCTTCAAGTAATTTGGATAGGAAAGGAAGAATGGATATAGGTCTGAAGTGATTGGGTAAAGTCGGATTGGAAGTTTTCGGCAAGGGAATAACGTGGGCCATGCGCCACAGCGACGTGAAAACTCCGGAATCTAGGGAGAAGTTTATGATATGGGAAATAACTGGAAGAATATGGTCAAGGATATAAATGATCATACGGCGGCTGATGTTATCGCAACCCACAGCGTTTGACTTAATGGAAAGGATTATCTTTTTAATTTCATCCGAAGTAACTGGATAAAAGTGGAAGGGATCGATATCTAGACAAGGTAAGCCATTTAAATAATCAACAGTGTGACACTTGGTTTGGTGATCCAGAGGAGTATGAGAAACAAAATGACTGTCAATATCATCCAAACCAAGCGTCCGCTGAAACTCAAAACGGAGCTGTTTACCGATTCAGAGAGTCCTAAGGAACTTGCAAATATCGGCAGAGGAAGAGGAAATTATGTTATCAAGAATATATCGGCGTTTAGCGTTGCGTATCATCTGATTACACCGATTCCTAGCAGCTTTATAGAGGTTCCATCTCTCTTCACTCCGCTCTCTTCTAAAACGTTGAAAAGCCCGGTCCCTACGCCTCATGGCTATGCAAATACCTCTCGTCATCCATGGAGCAGGTGATCGCTTGACTTTCACCCTCTTGACTGGTGCATGTACATCAAAAGCTTGAGAATATTATCATTAAACGCAGCGACTTTCTCGTCCACAGTAGAGGTGCCCACCACTCTGTCCCATTTTAATTTAGCTCTTCTAAATCCATACGACCAAAACATCGCATGTGCAGGATTTTAGGCAGCAATTTAGGAGGTTTTAGGACATAAGAAAGGAAAATGAGGTCATGATCATTCTATCTTAGTCCTCACGACTGACAACGCATCTGCATTTTGATTTTTTAGTGAGGATAAATGTAAATGTCTATGGGCTACAGCAACAACTTACCATCAGGGAGACTGTGTGCTCGTTCGTCACTCTTAATCTATATAAAAAAAAACTTACCAGCAGATTAAGTGTAAGTTCGATTGTCACTTAAATGTTATTAAAAAAAAAACTATAAAATTAAGTTTTTAAACATTTTCTTTAAGATAAGTTTTAGAAAAAACTTAATCCGTACCCAAACACACAAAGAAATAATTGAAAAGTTTAGATTCTTTCTTTTATTTTTACAAAAACCGTTACCACTAGGATTTTCTTCAGTATCGTGGAGGCAGTTTACAAACATAAATTGCACAAGGACAGACATCAAGACCCGGAACAATTACTTTGTAGGCCAGGCCAAACGGGTCGGCTCGACCACGCTCTCACAGAATACCAGCATAAAATAGCAGTTTAATGCTATTTTATGCTGGTATTCTGTGATTCTGTGCTGTGTTTCGTATGGTTAGTGTAGAGAACCGGAAACCCTTTTTACAGGAAACGAGGCATTCCAACTTCTCAGGGGTGACAACGCTTCTGCAATTTGATTCTTAATCTAGGAGAAATGTAGCTGTCTACGGGCCACAGCATCCACTTACCATCAGGTGGACTGTGTGCTCGTTTGTCGCCCTTATTCTACTTATTTCGTGCGGGATTCGAACCTGCGGCCGTCAGCACCGCAACTTAATGCCACTGTGCCATGGAGCCGTCAGATTCTTTAAATCAGTTTGTATTTCGTATGGCGTATCAGTGACGTGAAAGAGCTCGATCAGCCGTAAAAGGCGCAAGGCGAAAGGCGGCTTGACTGGTCCGCCATTGGCAAACTTGACCTACATTTTGACCCTACCGGACCAGGCGAATGCTGGTTTCGGTCGCGAAGTTTTCTACTGACGTACCTCTTTAGATTTA